CCCTCTGAGTTTGTTTTAATTAGTTTGGCTGTTTTTAAAAACATTTTTGAATTCAAGGCTATCAAACACTCTTAATTTTTAATGCTCCTTGTTATTTTAGCATCTTTACTATTATAGGTTAGGGTTGTTTTAGTACTTTAACCTAAAATTTGGCATAATTAAGAATTCATAATGTTTTTGAAAGAGTCTCTTCTGCATTTATTCTATCAAAATACAGTAAAAATAGTGAAATATTATTACAATTTTAAACAACTGTTTTCGATATGAATATATTTTTAAATCTAATTTATTCCTGTGATCAAATCATTTATAATGTTGTTACATAAGATTCTGTTTCAAATAAACGCTGTTCTTTTGAACTTTCTATTCATAAAAGAATCCTGAAGAATAAAATGTATTGACAGTTTCCACGAAAATATCTATAAATTAAACGAACTACATTGAGTTACTACAGTAGCTTAAATAAGATAAGTGTACAACTTTATATTTTATTTCAAGTTAAGATATCTATTATATATTTTAATGTGTATATGTATATTAACATTTGAAATGGATCAAAACCTTTCATCAAAGTTATACATTAATTTTTGACTACTATTATATATATATATATTTGTTTGTTTTCAAGTTTTTCTTATTGTTTTAGATTTAGTTAACGGTAAAAAAACCCCCGTACTCCAGTCTTTCTGCTTAAATAATCAATGTTTAATTAGACGTGTCACTTGCTGATTTTCTGTAACCATATGTCTGAGTGACGGTTGTTTCTACACATTATTTCAGTATAATAATAACCCTGTGCTGAAACCTCTAGCACATCTCGTTCCTTCATATCCCAGTGAAAGCTCTTCTCTTCGGGTTCTCCTGACTCACTCACACACACACACTCACACACACACACACACACAGTGTGTTTGTTTTTCCAGCAGGAAGGTTGGAGTCGCACAGATCTCCTCCTGTGACGCCAGACTCTCCTTCACTCGTGTTTTAGGAGAGAGCGGATCTAAAACCACTCAGATGACGAGCAAGCGCCGAAAGCTCCTAAATATGCCTTTTTGTTCTGTTTTTAAATGCTTTATTTCCTACAAAGGTAACTCTCATATTACATCAGAAGAACACATCACATGCTGAACAATACAACAGATATTACACAAAGAAGAAAGAAAACCGACAAAAAAAAAAGAACAGAGAGGGTGAATATCTATGCCATATATAGTTAAATAAGCATAAATAGATAGTTTTCATATGAAAATGTTAAATGAAGAGATTTTTAGTTTTGACATCATCTATGCACATTTTAATCTCCTTAAGCACTGTAAAATTCGGTTTGCCATTTGTGAGTTT